CCGCGTCCGTGGACAGGGGCACGAGCGTTACTTCCTATTGGTGGTTGACGATTACTCGCGTTACACCACAGTCTTCCCCTTGCGCAGCAAGGGTGACGTCACTGAGGTGTTGATTGAGTGGATCCGCGCAGCTCGTCTCCAGCTCAGAGAGAGTTTCGGCTCGGACTTTCCTGTTCTGCGTCTGCACTCTGACAGAGGCAGGGAGTTTTCCTCTGCCCGTCTGGGAGCCTTCTGTCGTGTGCAGGGCATCCGCCAGACCTTCATGCTTCCGGCCTCTCCACAGCAAAATGGGATTGCTGAGCGCCGCATTGGCATGGTCATGGAGGCGCTCGTATGTCCATGATCCATGTGGCTGCCCCCCATTTTCTGTGGCCGTTTGCGGTTCAGTACGCAGCGCATCAGCTCAACCTTCAGCCCCGGGTCTCCTTGCCAGAGACCTCCCCCACCTTGCGGTGGACGGGGAAGGTTGGCGATGCGTTTGCGTTTCGGGTCTGGGGATCTCGGGCGTTTGTTCGCGACTTGTCTGCGGACAAGCTGTCCCCCCGTGCTGTTCCCTGCGTCTTCCTTGGCTTCCCCCCTGACGCGCCTGGTTGGCAGTTTTACCACCCCACCTCGCGCCGTGTTCTGTCCTCCCAGGACGTCACCTTTGACGAGTCGGTACCTTACTACCGTCTCTTCCCCTACCGCACTGCGCCCCTTCCCCCGCCGCCGCTCTTCCTTGCACCAGGTCCTCCTCCGGTAGACCCCCTCCCCCCTCAGGGTCCTGCCCCGTCACGTGTGTCCCAGGTAGACGCAGTTGAGCCTGTCGAGGTAGCTGTTGACTCTGGTGCTGTTGGAGGTGCTGAGCCTGCGGGTGCCGGGTCTGGAGGTGCTGAGCGTGAGGGTGCTAAGTCTGGGGGTGCTGAGCCTGGGGGTGCGGAGCCTGGGGGTGCGGAGCCTGGGGGTGATGGGTCTGCTCGTGTGGCCGCCGGCGGTGCTTCGTCGAGGCGAGAGCCACTCTCTCCACAGGAGCTGCGCGAGTGGTTTGCCCGGCGCTGGTGCCGTGCTGCTGGAGCTGGAGGTACTTCTGTTGCTGCTAGTCCCGAAGGTACTGTACTGGCGGTGCTGGAGCTGCTGGGACTGGGGGTGCTGCTGGGGCTGCTGGAGTTGGTTCGGCTAGAGGTACTGCTGGAGCTGCTGGCGGTACTGTAGCTGCCGGTCCTGCTGGAGCTGGAGCTGCTGAGGGTGTTGGCGCTGGTGGTGCTGCTGGCGCTGGTGCTTCTGAGGGTGCTGGAGTTGGTGCTATTGGAGCTGGGGGTACTGGTGCTGTCCCTGCTGGTTCTGGAGACGCTGCGCGGCCACGGTCGTACTTTGTTCCGCTCCTCGAGCAGGTTCTGTTATAGTCACAATAGGCTCCAATGTGCCTAAAACGAAAGATAGAGTGCACAGCCGGATTTCTGCACAGCGGTTTCAAACGTTCATAGCGTTCTGGTCACAACTTCAAATGACCTGATTCAACTTGGATCTGGAGCGTCGAAACGTCGCCTACAATAGGCAATTTAGATTGCACAATTTCACCAAGTATTGACGACACAGTGTCGGTTTGAACGAACGGCACTATGGCAGCCACTATAGTCTTAGAAGACAAAATAGGAAGAGATATGAAGAGTTACGAGTTGGGAATGACTCCCAGCTCCTACAAACCCCAAGAGCCGAGGTACAGTGATGTGGAACAGTGCCACACTGTCCCCAACCACGAAGGGTCTCGAAACTACCCTTCACTAGGGCCTACACCAAGTGAAATGTTACACTACACAAAGTAATGTAACTATCTTCAATATCTTGAGGTGTACCCTTTTGGCGAGCTTCGAAATCACTTGAGGCTTGACACCAAGGCTCGGGCTCTTCATCACAAACTCATCCTTGAGTTCTTGATGGGTCTGCTGCACACACCTGCGACACACCGAACGTTCGACACAGGACAAAATAGAAACCGCGCACGACAAAAATAGAAACCGCGCGCGAGACACAAACGACCGCGTAACACGCGTCTAGCGATAACTCGCTATTGACTCGACACACACACTCGACATCATGACTCAACATTCACACACAATTATAAGCATGAAATATATATTATCCCATGCCCTCATACCATTCCATACACACACACATGCACACACACGGACAACAAGCCGAGTGCAAACCGTAGGGTTGCACCAACAGGTTCTTAGTCTCCCGCCCTCCACTGGTCCTGCTCCTCCCTTAGAGTGTCCGCAGCCTCTCCAGTCGCAGTCACAGCTACAGCCAGCCTGCCTCCCCTTGGCCTGCACCTTCTCCCTACACTGGTCCCACTGGAGGTCTTGCAGAGCGTCGTGAGCCTACGTCTCGTCCTGCGTCGCCTGTTCGTGCTGCTCGCACTAGTAGTCGTGCTTGTTGGTGCAACTGAGTGCGAGTAGTCGGCAACTGTGCGGCATCTCACTACTCGAGTGCGAGGCAACCGGCTTGCATTATTGTGCATCTGCTGTCAGTTTTGTGGCACGCTACTGTTAACCCCACGTCCCACACTGTGTTGTGGCAGCTTTTTTACTTGACGGCGCGGAACAGTGACTCCGTTTGGGGCATATCGCGACGTGGAACCATCACCCATGTTATTACAACCAATTTTTTTTCCGTTGCTTCACTGATGTTCAAAACCTATGTCATACCTCCTTGCAGGCTTTCTCAACAGCCATCTGTTGCAACAAAGGCTGCACCAGGTTGACGGTTTTCATCAAACCAGGTTGACGGTTTTCATTTCGGCGGATGTCCTCCTTCTCGCGGTAAGCATGCCCGCATTTAGCGATGGAGTATTGAGTTTCCGGCTATATGTTTTGTGTTTGCAACTCCTCGTCATGTTCATTTCCTGTTTGTAGTGTTCTCGGTAGGCTAAATATTTGTCTGTTGGTGTCTCGCACAACCTGCTATCCCTAACCCCTCAGGATTCGTAACTGCAAGTTGTGTTTGCTTGTTTTGCAGGGCGTATCTGTTGTTGCGGGCTTATCGTCAACCAGAAATGCGTGCTGTGTTCTTTTTTGCCAATACTGCGTACTTCTAACCCCAATGGAAGTTGTTGAGATAGGCTAAGTAAGAGTAGATTTAGGAGCCATAGCTTAGGAGCCTTGGTAGTTAGTTCGAGGGTGAGGAAAAGTATCGAGAGAGTTGTAAAGGAGAATGGAGGGTTTCACTATAGGTTCAAGGGTACAAATATGAAAGAAGTGAAGCAAGGTGCACCACCTAACAAGCAAGATAACTACACTAAGTCTACATTGCAGGCAGTTATAAAGTGATGTATACAATAACATTCTGACACACCCCCTAACTGCCTGCAGTGAAGAACCATGTGCAGAAACACCCCCGGAAGGGGTACACCAAGCAGAGCGCAGTAGACGGAGAGGGCAAATGAGGAGGAGGGACTATGAGAGGAGAGGAGGCGGTGGGCGGCAGTTGAAGCTGCTGGCACACTGCACAACTGGAGCAACTGGCACACGGGCAACTGGAGCAACTGGCACACTGGCAACTGGAGCAACTGGCACAACGGACAACTGGAGTAACTGACTCAGCGGCTAGACGAGCGGCAGGAGTAACTGACTCACGGGCTACTAGAGCAACGGGCGACTGGAGCGACGGGCTCACGGGCGACTGGCGCAACGGTCTCACGGGCGACTGGAGCTGCTGACTTCACGGCGGCCACCTCCACTCAACTTCCCTCACCTGTCCCACACCCCTTTCACACCCGCCACCCCCATACCCACCCCCACACGGCTACACCGGGTCCAGGAGCGGCTGCTGCACTGGCGGCTACTCCAGTGGCCAGGGGCGGCTACTGCAGGGGCGGCCGCTTCAGGGGCGGCTGCTGCAGGGGTAGCGGCTCCAGGGGCGGCTGCTGCAGGGGCGGCTGCTTCAGGGGCAGCGGCTCCAGGGGCGGCTGCTGCAGCGGCGGCTGCTCCAGGGGTGGCTGCTGCTGGGGCGGCTGCTCCAGGGGCTGCTGCTGCAAGGGTAGCGGCTCCAGGGGCGGCTGCTGCAGCGGCTGCTGCTCCAGGGGCGGCTGCTGCTGGGGCGGCTGCTCCAGGGGCTGCTGCTGCAGTGGTAGCGGCTCCAGGGGCGGCTGCTGCTGGGGCGGCTGCTTCAGGGGCGGCGGCTCCAGGGGCGGCTGCTGCAGCGACGACTGCTCCAGGGGCAGCTGCTGCTGGGGGCGGCTGCTCCAGGGGCTGCTGCTGCAGTGGCGGCTGCTGGAGGGGTAGCGGCTCCAGGGGCGGCTGCTGCAGCGGCTCAAGAGTGACGTTTTCCGCCCCCCTAGTTGCTTTACCATATACCTCACACTTGCACCGAAGTGTACAGTTTGTGTTGGGAATGTGACAGGGAAGTCACTTCGCAAGTTACTGACGCTACCACTGTTTTCGAGTCAGACTTTTTTTTTGCGCGGCGAATGCAACTGCAAAGTTACGAAAGAGCCATTACAAAGTTTTTTTTTGCACTTGCCTTTTCCGCGATGTCGTGAATTTCGCATTTAGTTACGTTTCGTTTCGCAATTCGTTTCATCGTCTCCTCTCTACCGTGATGTCATGACTGAGAAGAAGTAAACGAGAGAATGAGTGAACTATGAACGAGGTGAGTACAAATAGGAAACCCTAATTGGGTTGTACCCCCTATGGGATACCCCACTATAGCCTACACAAATAAGTAAGCTATAATATGTTCTGACACACCCCCATAGGCAAAGTGGGGGAGAACAAGGGGTCACAAGACCAGTTAAGCAAAGCAAAGCAAAGCTCAGGGTGGATCACAAAGTCACCACACATTCCGAGCACAAGTTCAAAGGCCAGAAGGCCAGTTCACATGCAAGATCATATATAGAGATATACAAGAGGCAAGCAAGCAAGAGCAAGAGTATATATAGGTAAAAGTACAAGCAAGGTCAAGAAGTGAGCAAGTGAGGCAAGGCAGGCACAAGGCCCAGCTGCGTGCAGCAGCGCTGATGATCACAAGGGCGCAAGTGCCTTGGTGAAGACATCAACAGTGTTGGCCTCAGAGGCCACGTACGCAAGTCGCAGCTGTCCACGCTGCTGTAGCTCACGAGCAAGAAAGTAGCGGAGAGCAATGTGCTTTGTCCTGTGCTCCAGTCGCTGCTCTCGACACAAGGCCAGCATGGCCTTGTTGTCTACGTACAGGACTGGAGGAGAACGAGGCGGCTCTCCAAGGTCGGTCAGCAGGTAGGTGAGCCAGCGTAACTCCTGTGCAGCCATGGCCCTGGCGTAGATCTCATCCTCACAACTGGAGCCGAGAACAGAAGACGAGCGGGTAGCCCGCCACGAAACAGAGCCGGAACCAAGACTGAAGGTGTAACCCTGTGACGACCGCTGCGTAGCCTGGTCGTCAGCCCAAGAAGCGTCTGCGTGCCCAGTGAGGACCACTGGACTGCGCCCTCCAAGCACTAGCCCCATGCCCGACGTACTGCACAAGTAGCGCAACACCCTCTTCGCTGCAGCCATGTGCTCTGGTCGGTGTCTCCCAGGAGCAACATAGCGTGCAAGAATGCTCAGAGGGTATGCAAGGTCAGGTCGTGTGCAGGTCATCAGGTACATGAGGCAGCCAACAAGCTCTGCATACGGGCCACTCGACTCTACGGACTCATCCGAAGGCAGAGCTGAGAGCGAGTGGCGAGTAGGCAGAGGAGTGGCCTGAGGCGAGGAGTACGTGAAGCCGAAGCGCTGAAGGACCTGCTGCACCATGTGTGACTGAGTCAGGGTAATGGTGCGGTGTGCTCTGTCCCGGGTGATCTGCAAGCCAAGGTAGCTGCGCAGTTCACCCAGGTCAGTGCACGTGTGTCTCTTCTGCAGCTCGGACTTCACGTAGGCGAGTCCAGCAGTGTCAGCTGTGGCAAAGACCAAGTCGTTGACGTACACGAGGATGTAGAACGGCGGCAGAGAGGTGTCGGTGCGCAGAAAACAGCGACGGGTCTACAGTGGAGGGAGCAAACCCAAGTGCCGCGAGCGTAGTCCTCAGTGTGTCGTGCCACTCACGCGGCGCCTGGCGGAGACCGTAGACTCGACGCCGGAGACTCCACTGGGTACCAGGAGGGAAAGACCCAGTGAAGCCAGGTGGGCGACGCAGCCAGATCTCCTCGTGCAGGCTGCCCTGCAAGAAAGCAGTGCTGTAGTCGAGAGAGTGCAGCTCGTAGTCACGGTGAGCAGCAACGTGCAGCAGTACCCGAAGAGTGGTCATCTTTGGGGTGGGGGAGAAGGTCTGAAAGTAGTCAACTCCCTGCCGCTAACTGAAACCACGAGCCACGTACCGCGCCTTGAAGACAGGCGGAGAACCCGGCGGCCGCTTCACTCTGAAGATCCACATGCCACTGACGATGTTCGCCCCAGGAGGGGAACAGCGTCAACGTAGGTGCCTGTGGACTTCCAGGAAGCCATCTCTGCATCCATAGTTGCCTGCCACTGAGAGGGAGTAGGGACCCTCTATCGCCTCCGCGTAAGAGCGCGGAGTCGGGATGTCTAGTGCATCCGGGTCTCCCTCAGGGCTAGCAGTACAGACGCGAGATGAGGTGAACAGCGGCCAGACACTGGAACTCCTCCTGCCTGTCCTCAAGGACGTCCGTGCCAAGAGCACACTCACCCCCGACGGACGGAGGACAGGTAGACTCAGACTCAGCGACAAGACCAGCAGCGTAGTCTAGACGACAGCGCGCAGCAAAGTCGACGAGCTCAGTGACAAGGGAAGACGCAGCAGAAGACTCGAAAGAAGGGTCAGTGACAGCAGTAGCAAGGAGACGCGTGACAGTAGGACTGGCAGCACGAAGAGAGTCCGACTCCGGGTCGGCAAGAGCAGGAAGAGAGGAAGAAGGAGGAGAAGGCAAAGGGGCACGTAGAGGAGCAGTGGACGGATGCAGAGACATCCGGTGCGTGCCAGGGACAGGAGGCGACGCTGACGCGAACCGCGACCACTAGTGCGCGCAGTACGAACAGGCGACGCAGGACGAGACGCAGGCTCACGACGCTCAGTAAGACCTCCAGTCGGACCAGCGTAGGGAGAAGGAGCAGGCAAAGGGGAGGCAGGCTGTAGCTGTGACTGGACAGGCTGTGGACCCTCTAAGGGAGGAGGAGGAGGACCAGGAGAAGGTGGAAGACCAAGAACCTGCTGCAGGAGCGTACGAAGTACGGTTGGGGCCGCGTGGCGACGCCAGAAACAGCAGGGACAGCACCAGTACCCCCAGCAGGAGTACCCTCCGAGCAGCACCTCCAGTAGCTCCAGAACCCCCAGCAGCTCCTCCAGTAGCCCCAGAACCTCCAGCAGCACCAGGAGCACCGCCAGTCGAACCACTAGTGGTAGTCTCAGCGCCAACACCCTCAGCAGCACCAGCTCCAGGTGAACCCGCAGGCCCAGCAGCTCCAGTACTCCCGTACGAGCACCTCCGGGACCCACGGCAGCAGCACACCCTCGGCAGCAGAAGAACCTCCAGCACCAGCAGCACGCCTCCAGCGCCGAGCAAACCACTCACGGCAGCTCCTGTGAGGAGAGTGGCTCTCGGCGAGACGAAGCACCCGGAGAACCTCCATGCGAAGAACCTCCAGGCTCAGCACCCCCCAGGCAAAGCACCTCCAGGCGTAGCACCCCCAGGCTCAGCACCCCAGGCTCAGCACCCCCAGGCTCAGCACCCCCAGGCTCAGCACCCCCAGACTCAGCACCCCCAGACCCAGCACCCCCAGGCACAGCACCCCCAGGCTCAGCACCCACAGCAGCACCAGAGTCACCAGTGACCTCGACCGCTCGACCGCGTCTACCTGGGACACACCTGAAGGGGCAGGACCCTGAGGGGGAGGGGGTCTACCGGGGGGGGGAACCTGGTACCAAGAAGAGCAGGGGTGGGGGGAGGGACGGAGTGCGGTAGGGGAAGAGGCGGTAGTAGGGTACCGACTCGTCGAACGTGACGTCCTGGGAGGACAGAACACGGCGAGAGGTGGGGTGGTAGAACTGCCACCCAGGGGCGTCGAGGGGGAACCCCAGGAAGACGCAGGGAGCAGCGCGAGGGGACAGCTTGTCCGCAGACAAGTCACGGACAAACGCCCGAGATCCCAGACCCGGAACGCCGACGGATCGCCAACCTTCCCCGTCCACAGCAGGGCTGGGGAGGTCTCCGGCCTGGAGACCCTGGGGAGGAGGTTGATCTCATGCGTCGCGTACCTGACAGCAAACGGCCACAGAAAATGGGGGGCAGCCGCATGCATCATAGACGTACGAGCGACGTCCATGACCATGCCAATGTGGCGCTCTGCAATCCCATTTTGCTGCGGTGAGTCCGAAAGCGTGAAGGTCTGGCGGATGCCTCGCGCACTACAGTAGGCACGCAGAAGGCCAGAGGAGAACTCTCCGCCTCTGTCCGAGTGCAGACGCAACACAGGAAAGTCCGATCCAAAGCTCTGCCTGAGCCGGAGACGAGCTGCGCGGATCCAGTCGATCAGCACCTCAGTGACATCACCCTTGCTGCGCAAGGGGAAGACTGTGGTGTAACGCGAGTAGTCGTCAACCACCACAGGAAGTAGCGCTCGTGACCGAGTCCACGGACGCGGGCAGGGCCCCCACTGTCCATGTGAAGCGTCTGCAACGGAGCCTCTGTCGGAGGAAACTGGGAGGAGTGAGGGGCAGCCCGCTGGCGCCCCTCGACACAGGGGACACAGGCAGGGCCAGGGCCCTGAGGAAGGGGAGGGAGGGACCTGGGGAGACCAGACACAAGAAGACGGGGAGGCCATGCCTCTGAGCCGAAGCAGAGAGGGGTGGCCAAGGCGGTGGTGCTAGAGGAGGGTCTCGTGGGACAGACGGCGACACGAACAGGGGGCAGACTCAGGACCAGACCTGGACGCTGCAGCAAACACATGACCAGACGAAGAGACCCTACCAGACTCAGCACCTGGAGGAGAAGCAGTGGTCAGTGTGTACAGGCTCGACCCTAGGCTGACGTGTAAACGTAGCCAGGTGGCGACCTGTGCTAGCCTCTGTGCAGTGTGTCACCCGCTGACGAGCAGGAGTGAACTGGTGGAACACCCGCATCCTGTAGGTCAGCACCACTCACCAGGTTCGTAGAGAACGAAGGGAGGTAGAGACCAGTCAGGGTGCCAGAGGGAGCCGCCGGACACGGGAGGACTGTAGAGAAACGAGACAGGACAGGAACCCCCAGAGGGGTCAGCCAGGGACACCGCAACCGGCCGACTAGTGGCGTGAGAGTGGTGCGGTCCCGGAAAGAAGGAGCGAGACGCTCCAGAGTCAAGGGTGAAGGTGTGAGAGGCCGAAGTCGACACGTACCTGAGAGGTGCAGACTCACTAGTACCTACGAGCACAGACGCACTGGCACCTAGAGCAGCAGCCTCACTGGCACCTGACAGAGCAGTACCAATGCCCCGCGTCGGGCGGGAAACACCGGTAACAGTCACCCTCATCACTAACAGTCACAGCATACATGGCAGCAAGGATAGCATCATAGTCAAGATCAAAGATAGCTACACCAGCCCTAGACAGCTCTCCCCAGCGGGGGATCTCAGAGGCCTCCGGAAACTGCTGGCGCCAAGCGTCGGTCAAGCGGGCAAAGCAGCGGCGGGCGGTGTGTGTGCCCCCACACTGCTCACCCGCTGCGGTCGCCGGTGCGAAGGACGTAGGTGCAGGGGCCGAACGCCCCACCACGCTGACGCTGCGAGTACCACTCACGGAGCTGATGAGGGGCGGGGATGTCGCGAGAGCGCTGCTTGCTGCTGCTGCTGCTGGCGCTGACCACACCGCAGTGCTGCTCCGCTGCGACGTGCCACTCCGACTACCTCCACCACCGCCACCCCCCGCCTCCGCCGCCACCCCGGCCGCCACCGCCACCCTCGCCCCGCCGCTCCCACCGCCACCGTCCGCCACCACCACCCGCCTCCACTGCCGCCACTAGTACCTCCACTCCCGCCACCACCTCCACCGCCACCCCCACTCCCCCCGCCGCCCCCACCTCCTCCGCCATCCGCCCCCGCTAGCTCCACCCGCTCCCTTGCCCCCCTTGCCCCTGCCAGAGCGGGCCTACCGCTGGGGGAAGACGCAGCACCGACCGACTCCAAACCAACGAGGTCAGACCGCAGCAGCAAAGGCGACAGAGGGTAACAGGGGGGAGGGAGAACACCCCTCAAAGATGGGGGTGCGAGGGTCACCACGAGAGGCCCCTACAGCGACTATACTCTTCTCAGCCGCTAGCAGGGACTTCTCAAGGAGGTCGACAGTGAGGGGTGGTGGGACAGACAGAGAGAAACTGGTCCTAACGGCACGTAGGGACTCAGGGAGACGGGTGACTAGAAAGTAGAGAGTGATGTACATGGGAGGAGGGTTTTGCGGCGCGGAAGTCAGCAGGAAGCGCAGCGCGGTAGCGAGTGTCACTAGCGCGGAGGTGGGTAAAGAGGGTCAGCGACTGTGGGAAAGGCAGCGAGGTCAGGGAAGAGGTACGGTAGCATGAGGCGGCTCGCGTAGCGGAGGAAGGGGAGGAGTAGCGCGCAACTACAAGCGTCGTACAAGGCCTGAGCGGTCTTGCACTGACTAAAGTGCGCACGCTCGGAGGAAGGGAGGTGTCGACGCACAGCAAGACGTGCAGCAGCATCGCGTGTGGCCACTTGGAGCGAACAGTGGGGTCAGCATCAGCAGGAGGGGCAGGGACAGCGCCAGAGACAAAGTCAAAGAGAGAAACCTCATCTATCGCATCGCACAGTAAGTACAGCTACAGGTCCTCGACCCAGACTGCAAAGTCAATGGCGCGACCCTCAGCTCAAAAGCCAGGACCTGGGTTGCCATTATAGCAGCTGACAGTCTCACCGTGCGGAAGAGTCGGGTAGCTCAGTAGTACAGTACACGGCAAGTACAGCGGGCTGCGCCGGTCCAGGAGCAGCAGCAGCCCCCACAGGAGCAGGAGCTCGGCACCTCAGGTTGCTCGGGCGGCTCGGGCGGCTCGGGCGGTTCGGGCGGTTCGGCGGCTCGGGCGGCTCGGGCGGCTCGGGCGGCTCGGGCGGCTCGGGCGGCTCGGGCGGCTCGGCGGCTCGGGCGGCGCGGGCGGCTCGGGCGGGCTCGGGCAGCTCGGGCGGCTCGGGCGGCGCGGGCGTCTCGCTGGCGGCGCATGGGTGACTGCACGGGAGGCTGGGGC